CCTGGTCAGGGCACATGCCCGGGTTGCAGCTCGATCCCCAATCAGAGGCATGCAGGAGGCAGCTGATCAATGACTCTCTCATCATTGATGTTTCTATCTCTCTGTCTCCCTCTCCTTTCCTCTCTCTGAAATCAATAAAGATATATTTTAAAAAAAAGAAAAAAAGAATGTGGTTCTAATAGAAGGGAAAAGCAGGGATTATTTGCTTTTATTGACTGGTGATCAAGTTTGGAGGTTCTTTGTTTATCGTGTCTATTTCTGACTAGCTGTCAATAGCTTTCATCCTAGAGATTGAGCAATATAGATTATAGTTAATGTTTGGTAGTTTTGAACCATCAGGCACCATAATGAATGTTTTAACATGGTTGTAAGAATCATATAGTCAAAAGACCTAAGATACATGGCCACTCCGAAAGAGCACAATTTCCTTTCCCTCCTGAACTCTTAAATTGGAGAACCAAAAGAAATACAAAACAGTTTTGCAGCCCTGGGCCTTTTGAGATTAGGATGGAGTATTTCACAGTCTGTTGACGTCCACCTGGGTGTAAATCACTGGGGCTTCTCTATCTATGAGAGATGATTCTGAAATGGTGCCTCCACAACAGACTTAGTAAATGAGCAGAGCAGTGATTTGTGGCCAATGAAATGTTGTTTGCTTCAAAAAATTATCTATTATCAGACCAACAGGGATCCAGAAACTGGAGAGTCATCCCTGGGCTGTGGATTGGACATACCATTCCACCTCCTGGCACTGACAGGTCTTTTAGCACCTAACTGGAAAACAACACCATCTCCAACACCGTTCCAAACTATCAACAAGGCTCTGCATGTGGAATTTCCCTTGATTTCTAAACTTGCTGGACTATATCCATTCAATAATAAAGGATGCTTGTATTGTTTCATAATTACTATAAACTTCTGCTTATCTAGCCTCTCAGATGCTCTCCTTTAACAAGAAAAGTAAAAACGAACCCACTGGCAAAGTCTCAAATAGAATAAACTAATGACAAGCCTTATGTTTTAATAAGCTCAGCTTCTTCGTGAATGAAACTGGTGGATGGCCATTGCTCCCCTACAAATGGAACTACCATTTGTTTCTTTGGCTTTGACAGGGGGGTTTGTTTGGAATGTTTATTCATTGTCGATACCAAGTAGACTTTTGTTTTTGCTTTGAGGGCCCCAGGATGATCAGAGAAAGGAAAAACATTCATCAAAGAGGTTGTGAATGGTCCTGGATCCTCTCCATAAATCCACGTTTTTCATGTGACAAAGAAACTAAGTATATACAATAGGTTGCAGTTGTCAGGCTGTTTGAGGTATGCTAACTTAGCCCTGCATAAGAACACAACTTTTCGAACTAGTGGACCAGATAAGACAGGTCTAAGTTTGAATTCTGATGCCAAACTCTCACTCCATCATTTACTACTTTGGCCAAATTATTTAACCATCCCGAGTCTCATTTAATGGAGGTCACTGCCTTCCTCCTAGGATTGTTGAGAGGGTTAAATGAGATTTAACACAGTTCCTGACATGTGGAAGGCCCTCAGTGGGTGCCACTGCCCCTCCTACCTTCCTTCCCCTCTCCCTGTAGCCACATTTAAGATGACATCACAGTTCCCTCAGTGACAGGGCTACTAGGTCTCAGAGTTTCCAGATTTCTGCTGATTGGAGAATCCAACTGTGCTGATGTTATTTATGCAAATGCCAGCTGGGGACTGAAGCCATAACGAGAATGAGTCATTCCAGAACACTCCTCAGAGAGAACAGGATTTTCCTCACTGCCGTGGGGAGGGTGGGGAGAGACGGCCCTGGGGCTCAGGCACGCCTGACATAATGCTATCATGGCCTCAGAAGTTTTTTATAGAAAAGGTCCAGGACTCCCCTAAGTCACATTAAATAGGTGTTACCTGTTTGGACTTTGAAATCTAACAAAGCAGGGTTTGAATCCCTCTTTCCACCCACCAGCTGAGTAGCCTCTCAAAGCATCTGTTTTCTGTCACAGTTCTTCTAAAGATTAAATAAGGCAACACACATAAAGCATCTAGGACATTGACTTGGCACATAGCAACTGCTCAATAAAAGTCAGTTATACTCTCTCTCTGTGTCTCTGTCTCCACCCCCCTCTCCCCTCTTCTGGCCCCCCTC